ACCCTTCAGGGTAGCCAAGTGAGTGGTAAGAATAGCTACCACGTTCATCACGGAGCCTGCATGACCATTAGGGGCACCCATTATACATCTCAGGCCACCAATGACAATAGTCTGTGGTTTGATCAAAAAGGAAGCACATGAAAGGCCAGTTCCAGCTACCAGGGACGAAGGTCCTGGAAGGTGACAATTTTAGGGAAACAGAGGTGCAGTTGTGGATGAAGCAAGTAGTTACATCCACTGTGCGGACCTTCTGCATGCCATGTTCCGAGTATCGTTCCCGAAGAGTGAATTGGTACATGGTAGGAGAGGAGGGTAAAGGCCTGTCCCGACAGAGCACAGAAAATAAGCAGAGCACAAAAAACAGGCAGAGAGAGAGGACTAGGGTGTTGGGAAAGCTCATTGTGCCTTCTTTAAGAGGAATTCGGCTGCGGGGAACACCGTGTGAGCCGCAACTTAAAGGGGTGAGATGGGTGTGGAGAGCAGGAGTAAAGGGGAGGTTCAGGAGGTGACTCTTGGAGTTCCTCTGGAGTGGTCCTGTCGTCAGCAGGTGGGGCCTCCTGGTGATATGGCTTCAACCTAGAAATGTGAATCCAGGGGGTGAGACGGTTGTCTGGTAAGGAGAGTTTGGTGGCGGTGGGGGTACAGAGAATGACAGGATAGGGGCCTTCCCATTTGGGGGCAAGAGGCCCTTTCCCCTCCATTATAATAGACTAGACTCCCAGGTGTTAAGGGAGGAGTGTTTGGAGAGGAGACTGGGTCCGGAAGAAGCCAGTCCTGATATTTCCAGAGTTCTGAGCGGAGATGAAACAAGAGAGGCAAAGACAAATCTCGGGTGAGAGGTCCTTGTGAAATGACCAGCCCAGGGGGTATAAGAGGTCTTCCTACATTATCTCAAAGGGAGACAGTAAAGATGGTTTCTTAGGGAGAGCTCTGATTCGAAGCAAAGCCAAGGGAAGGAGTTTGACCCAGTCTAAGTTTAATTCCATTGTCAATTTGGTAAGGACTTCCTTCAGAGTCCCATTTACCCTTTCCCCTTTCCCTGAAGCCTGGGGGCGATATGGACAGTGGAAATACCACTTGAAGGAGAGGGCTTGAGAGACCTTCTGTGTGATCCTCGAAATAAACTTAGGGCCATTGTCGGATTGTAGGGAAGTGGGCATACCAAACCTGGGGATGATGTCTGTCAGTAAGACTGAAGCTACAGTGGAAGCCTTTTTATTGGAAGTGGGAAATGCCTCAACCCAACCAGAGAAAGTGTCCACAAAGACAAGGAGGTATTTAGTGCGCCGTACTGTGGGCATGTTGGTGAAGTCTACCTGCCAGTCAGCAGCGGGAATGTGTCCCCGGGCTTGGTGGGAGGGAAATGGTTTAGGCCTTAAAGGAGTATGAGGGTTGGTCCGCTGACAGATCTGACAATTGGAGGCTATATTCTGTAGCATGGCTTTGTCAGAGGGGGTGAGGGAGAAGAAACTCTGTAAAAAGAGAGTCAAAGACTGAGAATTGGAATGGAATAGAGTAGGGAGGCACTCGAAAAGGTCCTTGTTCTTACTGGAAGAAGTAGGGGCTTCAGATGGACAGTCTAAAGTGGCCATTATATGTCCCCCAGGGGGGGTCATAATCGGAAGTGGTAGCAGCCATCCATGCCGCCTGGTCAGCCTTGGCATTGCCTTCAGTGATATGGGAGCCGTCCTTCTGATGGGACCTACAATGGACAACTCCCAACTGGGTGGGTAAGTGGGAGGCCTCTATCAGATTGGTTATAAGAGCCGAATTAGTGATCCATTACCTTTGATGGTAAGTAGGCCTCGCTCCTTCCATTTGCAGCATGGGATAATAGAATATGGAAGACATATTTTGAGTCAGTATAAAGGGTGAGGGATTTGCCCCGTGCTAGAAGGCAGGCACGAGTGGCCGCTACAATTCAGCCTGCTGGTTGGTAGTTCCTGAAGGCAGAGCTTTGGCCTCTATAATCTCAGTGGCCGAAACTACGGTGTATCCAGAGTAATGAGTGCCGTTCTGCCTAAAGGAACTGCCGTCAGTGAACCAGATAAGGTCGGGCTTGGTGAGTGGTCCCTCAGAAACGGAAGAATGACAGGGGAGGAAGTCATCCAAGGTTTCCAAGCAATTATGAGCTGGTGTGTCAGACGTGGGGGTCGTTGGGAGCAGTGAGGCAGGGTTCAGTGCAGAGCAGGGGAGGAACGTGATATCAGGGTTTTCCAGAAAGGAAGTGAGGGGCGACAGGACTCTGGATGGAGGAGGGGTCTGAAGGCCCTGCTAAGCTAAAAGATCCTTCAAGTGATGTGGGGAGTGGATAGTTAAAGGGGCCCCGAAAGTCAGCTTAGAGGCTTCTTTGTGTAAAATTTGTCCAGCGCTCCCCATGTGAGACGTCTCTCCTCCCTGCCGAGGCAGTTTTAATCAATTTCTCAAGAGCAATACATGCACATATTCTTCTCGTTTTTTAAAGAAGATGAAAGTGTTCTAACAGCGGAGTTCTCCTTCAGAGTTCTCCCCAGTGCTTTCCATATGGAGTGCTGCTTCCGGTCAGATGTGAGGGTTCTAGCTCTTTCTTTTCCCACTCATCTATCATATGTACATATCCATAGGAAACATATGATATTTCAACATGTTCTTATACAGACACATGATATGCTGAAGGCATCACCTTTTCTTTTTCTGTGCTGGGGTTTGAACCCAGGGGTGCTCTGCCACTGAGCCCCATCCCCAGCTCATTTTATTGATTGATTGATTTTTGAGACAGGGTCTTGCTAAGTTGCTCAGGCCCGTCTTGAACTTGCCATCGCCCTGCCTCCTCCTTTCCAAGGAGCTGGGATTACAGATGTGAACGCTGTGCCCAGCTAAATGTATCACTCTTAATCTGCTTTTCTCACTCTATCAGACGTCTTGGAAATATGCTAACATCAAGGTCTACTTCATTCTTTTTTGGGGGGTGGGGGGTGCCAGGGATTGAACTCAGGGACACTCAACCACTGAGCCCGATCCCCAGCCCTATTTCGTATTTTATTGAGAGACGGGGTCTCACTGAGATGCTTAGTGCCTCGCCATTGCTGAGGCTGGCTTTGAACTCGCCATCCTCCTGCCTCAGCCTCCAGAGCCGCTGGGATCACAGGTGTGCGCCATGGCGCCCAGTTTACTTCCTTCTCCTGAGCTGCTGGGGAGGCGTCTGCAGCGCGGATAAGCCACACTTTATTGAGCCAGGCTCTGACCCCTTTTCTCACTGGGCTGATGGACAGCCTTTCACAAGCCCTTGCAGGTGTTTTTCTGGGTCAGAGAGTGGACATTCTGAGCTGAGTGCAGTGGCCCTGTAATCCCAGCTACTTGAGAGGAAAGGTGGGAGGATCACCAGTTCAAGACCAGCCTCAACAACTCAGGGAGCCCCGTCTCAAAATAAACGTAGAAATTCCTGAGGCGGAGACTGCACTGCCGCAGGTCCTCAGCACCGTGTCACCACACGCTACCTTTGTGCCAAGGCCACGGGAACCCTCTGTCTGTCTCTACAGGTTGGTCACGCTTTGACCAGGAGAGACCAGAAGATCCTCGTGAGTGTCAGGGACCTCTCCCCATGCCTAGGGAAGGGACGGCAGAGTTAGGGGCATCGGATTCTCCTCCCCAAAATCCCAAGGGGGCTTCCGGTCTGTTGCACTGCCCAGGCCCCTGGTTGCTGGCTGGGGGGTAACCCGATCCGGGTCAGCTGGTGCAGTATGAGGTAGTGTCTAGCTGAGCGTCATGGTATTTTATGAAGCCCGAAATGTGATCGCTACTGTTGTCACACTTTAGCGCCCCCAACGATCCCCTTGCAAATGAGAAAAACAGAGCCTCCCCAAATGCCTTCCCCCTGACATCAAGGAAAGCCCGTCGGGCCAGCCATGCGACCCCTGAGGGGCTGTGGAGCCTGAGGGGAAGACGGGAGGTGCTTTTCCAAGGCCCCGGGGAATGTGCTGTAGGTCCTGTGTTCTCCGCGGCCTGTGAAGTCAGCGTCCTCTAACACGCACACTCACCAGCACGGGGGGCCTGCTGGGCCTGAGTCCTTCCACTTACACGAAGGCTGTGAGTCCGAGATCTCCAATCAGATGCCCAGGGGCCAGGACACAGGCGAAGCAAGCCCAGCAGACACTGTGGACACCTGCAAGTAGACGCCCCACGGCTTTGGTCAGCTCCAAAGGACAGCGCGGATACAGGGACGTGGGGAGAGCTGGACAGACAGAGCTCCCCCGAGCTGACCTGTTGCCCCTCATTCCAAAAACATGTTGTGCAACCCAGGGCAGTCCGCTCCTCCCAACTGAACTTACCGCCAGGCGGAGGAGTCAGCCTGTATCCCTCTAGAGCTGCGCTGTCCGTAGAATTTTCTTTGATGGAGGAAATGTGTGCAGAACCCAGTACAGAACTCCCTGGGCACAGGTGGCCGCTGAGCACTCGAAGAGGACTAAGGAAAGACAGGAGGCCGCGGGGCCCGTGGGGGGTGGAAACAGCAGGCCTGGGACACGGTGTTCAGTGGGTGGTGGTCACAGACTTTGGGACCCAGAGGGTGGCCTCCAGAAGCGAACACTGGGAGAACACGGGGTTCTTGGAGGCAAAGGCAGGAGACTCCAAACAGAGGGGACAGTGAGGCCTCCACCTCATGCCCAGGGCTGCCATTTTTCCTGGAGGCTGGGAGGCTGGGAAGCCAGGTTTGCACCTACAGCCCCCAGTGTCACACGCATCACCCGCAGCCCCCTCTTCCTTGCAAAACTGTCCCAATTGGGGTGATAAATTTTCTGCTCGACCTCCCTCAGGGCCAACCAGCTGCCTAATAGGAAAGAGAGAAAGAGAGAGGAGACCCCACAGGAGCACCTCTGACCCCCAGTGGCCAAGCCCAGCCTCGGACCCCAGCGCTGGCTCCCGGCCCAGCTCTCCTGCCCCCGTGGCTCGCGGAGCCGGCTCTGCAAGCCGCCATCACATTCACCAGGCCTGTTTCTTCTTTCTCTTCTCCAAATTCCCCGTAGGATTGTGACCAGATCCACGTTGATGACGTCTCATCAGATGACAACGGGCAAGATTTAAGGTGGGAATCTGGGGAGTCAGAAATGTCCATCAGTTGGTTCTCAGGAGGGGAGGGCTGGTCACCAGGACCAGACGCGCCCGTCACTAGCCAGATCTGGACCTGAGCCCCTCTGAACCCAAAGCACAACCCCGCCCCCCTCTGCAGCCTCTTCTGTCACCTCTTCTGTCACCTCTGACCTCGGGCTCTGCTGCGTTGCTCACTCTCCATCCCAGTTTACTGGAGTTGTGGGTGCACACCGTAAAAACTCACCCCCGCCCCCCAAAATCATTGCCATCAAGAGTTTGATCCACGTCCCTTGGAGACTTCATGACATTCGTTAGCCGGCATGTATTTTTTAATACAAAAAAAATTGATTCAGTCAATACTCAAGAAACACTTTCTGAGCGAATCAGTGGTGAGCCTGGTTTTCAGGGGAACACACTCCTAAGAGTTTCTGGAAATCCGGTAACCGGCTGCCTGATTAAAACGAGGCGGCTTTCAGAGGAGTGAGATCAAAATGTCCCAAGCCTGCCCTGGGGGGCGTGACCAAACAGAACCACAGCTCCTCGGTGCCAACCCCAATCATCACAGCTCGGCACCTCCAAGCCGTCCTGGATACGGGGATCAGGTTCTGGTTACGGGTGTGGGAGTCTCCCCACCCACGCCTGGACCAGGACGGAGTCCCTGCCAGTCTCTCCAAAGCCCAGCACGATCAGAAGTGATCTGATCACCGTCCAGCACATCCGTCTGTCCCCAGGCTGGTGAGGAGCAGCGCCATCCCGCAGCCCAATCAGAGTTAATGGGTCGTTTCCGTGAAGTCATCGCTGGGAGCCAGGCTCCCTCTCAAGGCCACGAGACACCGGGGTCTGGGGTTAGTGCTTCCCCTGCAGCTGCTGGGGGCCCGCCTCGGGCATCTCGTGCCAGGAATCCACTGTCCGAGGGTGTTTCCCAAGTCAAATTCCCCATTTAGTCATTCAGGAAATATTCACTATATTGAGCCTACGATAGGCTCAGCACCAAGCATCAAATGTCTCTTTTTTTGGTGGGTACAGGGGCTCAACCTCAGGGCCCTTGTTGAGCGCCTGCCCTGCTTTCAATGCTTCCTGTGGGTTAACCCCTGGCATCTTTGAGGCAGCCCTAAGAGACTCTCCTGTCACCCCCTGTCATAGCTGAGGAACTTGAGGCACAGAGAGATCAAGACACCTGCCCAAGCTCACACAGCTGGTGAGTGGGGAAGGCAGGATCCAAACCCGAGCAGCCCAGCTCCAGAGCCCCACTCTGACTGACCCCTCGGTCCCCCTGGGCACCTCACCCCACCCTCCTTAGGGGGCCTCTGTCTCTGGGCATCTCCTCAGGGCATCCTCCAAATTGATAGTCAGTGTGAGTTCTTTAAGAATAAATCCTGGCAGGATGAGAGCCTCGCTGGACAGGGAGGGCGGCAGGGTGGCCAGGAGTTGGGGTCTGCACTCAGGGGCTGTGATGGCTAGAAGTCCTGCCCCTTCCTCGGCCGATAGAAAATGAGCTGGAAAAGTGCCCAGCGCCGTCCCAGAGGATGGCTTCCGCCCCCTTTTTTAGTGGGATGTGTTTCCCTGACCTTTGGAAATGCCATTTTTGTGTCACTTCTGAAGTTTCCTGGCCACACAGAGAATTCCTTAGCCTTACATGCTTCTCTGGGGTCGAGGTTCATATCTGCAAAGCACCAACCGGGCAGCGGAGTGCGCCTCCTTTGACAAAAGACGGGAGAACGGCTGTGAGAAGACACAGGAGGGAGGAGAGATAGGGCCAGGCCCTCCCAGGGGGACTTGGGGATCCCCGTAGTGGGGATTAACTGGACTCTTCGTCAGGATGATCCGATCCCAGCCGTTCATTGTAGAATTCCCTTGGAGCTCAGAATTCCAAAGGGAGAGGAGAGAGGCTTTCCTGGGGTGGCCACTGCCTACAGGGGCAGCCATCATGTCCCCAAGAAGCCAGAGGCTCTGTTGATCCAGAAGAAAGGGGTGGGGGCTGCTTAGAGAGGAGCAGGAGTCGCGGCCTTCTCGGGGTGCCAATGCTGCTCCTCCCAGGTGCGCACGTGGCACGCTGAGCTCATCCAGGGGCGCACGGGTACCCCAGAGCCACCCGTGGGTCCTTAGGCCCTGCGTCTCCCAGTGCAAGGACACTGATCCCGCTGTGCCCTCACCTGTCTCCCCAGCACCTACAACTTCTCCACTGACGGCTTCCACAGCGCAGCCCCGGGGGCCGGCCTGTGCCTGGGCACCGGGGTGCACGGCGGCGTGGACTGGATGAGGAAGCTGGCCTTCCGCTACCGGCGGGTGAAGGAGATGTACAACACCTACCGGGACAACGTGGGTGGTGAGTGCGGGGACTTCCACAGGACGGGCAGTGGGCGAGCAGCGACAGTCCCCAGGACCAGCCGGTAGCATTTGATTCCCTGACTTTGAGGGGGAGGAAGCCCGGGACAGAGGGCACCTCCTGTCCCTGAGCCCTGGGCCCCCAGAGCGCGAGCTGGGCGCAGTCGAGTGCCCCTAGCTGGACCTGAGGCTCGCCAAGGTGCTCCCCAGGACAGCGTCACCGAGCCCGGAGTCGGCTGGGTTTTTTGTCTCATGAATTCAAAGAATGAGACTCGCGGAGTCGGAGGTGAAAGGCGGCTGTAGGAATTTACCAAGGCCAAGTGCAGTAAGCTCCAGGGGCGGGAGGGACCCCAGGACTGCCCAGGCATTTTCCCTTCCTGGGAAAGGCTGCGGACCCCAGGTCACGTTTGTCCCGATTTTAAGATAAACTTTCCCCAAGTTTCTCAGCAAATCCCTGCTGCTCAGGAGGCCTCCGGGAGCCCACTCCCCCACACGGCGGTCTCCTCCTCCTCCTGACCTCACCAGCGGCCTCCACCTGAGAAATGCAGGGTCTCCGGCCCCCTCACACCTGCTGATCCAAAACTCAGGAGCTGGGCCAGGGTCTGTGCTCCAGCAGGCGTCCAGGAAACGCTGGGGCCCTGCGGCCTGAGGGCCAGGGCTGGGTCCAGAGCAGGCAGAGCTGGACAGAGATGCACAACCCCAGGCCCGTCCCAGGCCACTAACTCAGAATCGGTGTCTTTAATACGATTCCCTCAGTGACAATGGGGCACCAGGAGCCACTGGTTCCCAAACAAGTTTCCCCGTCTCCCTCCCTCAAGAATGTCCGCAGCCGATTCTCGGGGTCGGCTGATTCTCTGGGTCTAGCTGCAGCCGCCTGAGGCTCAGGGTCCCCGGGTTGTCACATGCAGCCTTTCCTGGCCACCTGAAGGGGGCGCCTGAAGGGGGCTGAAGGCGGGTTGGTGGGCAGTGGCCAGGTCCTGGGTCCAGGTTCCAGGATTCTCCAGGCCAGTGGTTCTCAACGGGAGAACCTCAGCAGGCCTTGGGGTCTCCAGATGGCCTGGCACCTGGAGGTGAACGAGGGTCTAAGTCGGCAGGGGCGGGCCTGCCACGTCCTGGGCCCTGCATTCCCAGAACCAGGAGAGGCGGTTTTCATCCCGGACAGGAGCCGTGTCTGCCCCATGCTGACGCGTCCTAGCTGCGGGGCCTTCGACAGGAGGGAGCCGTGTGCTTGGGTAGGGAGACAGTGAAGGCCCTCTGCTCCCCCGCCACATCGAGGCCCAGGAAATGCCCTGGACTTCGTCGGTCTGCTCTGTTCTCCCCAAGCTGGGGCGAGGCACCCCGGTGTCAACAGGGCACCACTGCTGGCAGGAGCCAGCCCCGCCCCGCCAGCTACTTCAGCACCAGAGAACGAGCCAGGTGCAGGTCCGAGGCCTCCAGCCAGAGGCCAGCACAGCCCCCAGGGTGCCGAGGGGGAGGGTGCTCAGAGGGGGTGACTGCAGGACACAGGCTGGACAGGAGGCACTCGGGGAGTCGCATCCCAGAGGCCGAGGGCGGGCTCGGAGCCTGTGCCTGACATTGTCCTCTCTTTAAGGACAATTCCAAGAAGCCACACAGCACCTCCACTGCTCACCTGCCAAGACTTCCGTCACATGAGCACACCCAGTTGAGCGGAAGCTGGGGATGGAGACTTTTAGCCCAGAGAGCACCAGCCCCTTAAAAACCAAGGGTTTTATTACAAATGAAGATTTTTAAATTTTTGATATTTACTAAAAAGAAGGATGGGTGGTGGGAGGCCAGTCACCGTGTTTCCTCCACAAACAGCAAATGAAAAGTCCCTGAGAACAACAATTCTTCCGCTTTTCAGGAAGATAAAGAGGCGGGGGCAGCTGGAGGGGCTCGAGGTGGGGGATGGGAGGAGAGTGTCTAGATCCTGCGGGGCCTTGTGGGGTGGTGGGTCACCCAGTGGAGAAGGTGATGGCAGACAGCACAGGCTCAGGGCAGCATTGTGTCACAGCAAGGTCATTGTCCCTGCACACACAACCCTGCCGAGTGGATAGATGGATGGGTAAGTGGATGGATGGATGATGGATGGAAGGATGGATAGATAAGTAGATGGATGGATGGATGGATGGATGGTGAATGGATGGCTGAGTAGATAAACGGGTGGATGGATGGCCCGATGGAGGGTGGAAGTATCAGTCAGTGGATGGATTCATCAACCCATCAGGTGATTCCAGGAGAGGTTAGGAGGGGCTGCTGGGTTGAAGTTGGCGCTGGGTGCCATCTGATTGAGTCCTCCGGGTACAGTAGCTCACTCCCCTTCCCCAACGCTGTCCCTCTACCATTTTTAATATAACAATGGCACCTCTATTTCCTTTCTCCGCAGGCTTGATAGGGGCTCCCAAAAGAGAGACCTGGCTGCAGCTCCGAGCAGAGCTGGAGGCGCTGACAGACCTCTGGCTCACGCACTCCCTGAAGGCGCTAAACCTCATCAACTCCCGGCAAGTAGAAGCCCTGTTTCGCTCTGCACCACTGAGCTTTCCAGGAGACAGTGGTGGCTCCTCCTCCCACACTGAGGAGAGCAGGACACCTCCAGCAGCCCTTCCTAAGCTTCCGTGTAGGAGGCACAGTGGCTGCCTTGCCCTGATAGCGTAGCCCAGCAAGTAGTGGCAGAGACTTCTTGGGGTCCAGCGGGCCTCAGGGTTCTGGATTCTCTCCAAAGATCAGAAGGGGCTGGGCACAGTGGCCCACACCTGCAGTCCCAGTGACTCAGGAGGCTGAGGCAGGAAGACTGCAAGTTCAAGGCCGGCCTCAGCACCTAGCAAGGCTCTGTCTCAAAATAAAATAAAAAGGGCTAGAATGTAGCTCAGAACTGGCACTTGGTCTCCAGTTTGCCCCTGCCCCCACCCTTCCCTATGGTCCTACATTCAGTCCCTGTGACCCAATTACGTCACCTAGACACTTGCAGCTAATTAAACAAACACATGGATCTTGCAATAAACATTTGCTATTAAATAAACAAGGTTGTGGCTCAGTGACAGAGCGCTTGCCTCGCATGTGTGAGGCCCTGGGTTCCATCCTCAGCACCACATAAAAATAAATACATAAAGGTATTGTGTCCATCTGCAACTAAAAATGTTTTTAAAAATAAGCAAAGTATTACACCCATGTTGCATGTTAACGTCAACCAGCTGGAGGCCTGAAGACCAGGAAGAGCTGGGGGATCCCTGGGCTCCACCCCCACCTGACCAAGGCCCCAGAGTCATCTCCGACTGCAGGCTCCTATGGCAGGGTGGGGAGGCCTGGCCTGGTACCTTTGAGTTCTAACCCCCAGTCTCCTTCATCCTCAGGCCCAACTGTGTCAACGTGCTGGTCACCACCACCCAACTGATCCCTGCCCTGGCCAAAGTCCTGCTGTACGGACTGGGCTCCGTGTTCCCCATCGAGAACATCTACAGTGCCACCAAGACAGGTAGGGCGCAGCCAGCCTTCGGGGAAGCCGGAGGGGGGGCTGGCGGAGGGTGGGAGGGGCTGGCTTCCCGTCCTGGGAACAGGGCAGCCAGGGAAAGGTCACCGGGGAGGTTTACTGACCCTGCCCATGACCTCACAGCCCTTTGGATAACAGGAAATTAATAGCACTGAATGGAACTGAGGGCTCTCCTCCTGCAGGCCGGAATGAGCAGCTGATTTGCACCACTTATCTTCTTTTTATGACAGGGAATGTTGGTTTTCTTTTTTTGTGTGTGGGGAGCTGATTTTTGGGGGGTGGGGGTAACCAGGAATTGAGCTCAGGAACACTGGACCACTGAGCCACCTCCCCAGCCCTATTTTGTATTTTATTTAGAGACAGGGTCTCCCTGAGTTGCTTAGCTCATTGCTTTTTGATGAACTGGCTTGGAACTCGTGATCCTCCTGCCTCAGCCTCCCAAGCCACTGGGGATACAGGTGCGCGCCACTGTGCCTGGCATCTTTTCAATTCTCATATCACCTGGAAATGTATATGAATACAAAATAAAGCTCGTTAGTGGACGTGTTTTTTTATCAGAAATTTTTACCTTATAGATTTCTAGTTCTTCGGAAGCAAAGTGTCTTAGAGCGGCTCTTCACTTTTTGCCTGTAGTGATTTTCTAAGTCTGAGCATGACTTAAAGGAGCCTTTAGAGTTTAAAATAACCGCAGTTCAGGCCAAACCGGTGTTAGACTAACATTGGCCACAAAACCTTGGGGCCTTCTCATTTTCTTCCCGCCTCCTCTAGGCAGGTGGCCTTGGTACCTCTTACTTTTATGATATTTTTAAAAATGTAATTGTGACAATTTAACGATATAAAATGTTGTTTGTTTATCCGTGGGTTTGGGGGTTTGGTTTGCTTTGGTTTGCTTTGGTTTTTTGCGCGGCTGGGGTCACCCAGGGCCTCCCTGGCGGGGCAGGTGCTCTGGGCCCCGCCCCAGCCGCGGACCGGGTGCGGCACGGGGCGCTGCTGCGGGGGCGGGAAGCGCACCGCGGCCTCGGGCTGCCCCGCGAGGCTTCTTCCTGCTGTGGCCCGGGCTTGAGCACGTGCTCGACCTCCGTGGGGCTGCGTCGCCATCCCTCGGGTGGGGATGGTCCCAGCGCCGGGTGTCTGGGTGAAGGACGGCCTCAGGCGCGGGCTGCTGGCCACTCCCGGGTCCTCACGGAACCGCGGTCTCTTCCTCCCTCCCTCCGCGTGTGCAGGGAAGGAGAGCTGCTTCGAGAGGATAATGCAGAGGTTCGGCAGGAAAGCCGTCTACATTGTGATCGGCGACGGTGTGGAAGAGGAGCAAGGAGCCAAAAAGGTACCCGCCACCCGCCGCGCCCTGCCCCGCTCTCCTCCTCCCGCTCCGGGCGCGCGCTCCCTCCGCCTCCCGCGGACCGCCCGCTCCTCCCGGCCGTCGCTGGCCAGTCCATTCCCATTTGCAAATCGCAGAAGCATCCTGAGTAATTTCCTTCTGCAAATCCCCGCTGTGCCTCTGGCTGCGCCCCTGGTAGCCCTGGACTGTTTCTGGGCGCCGCGGGGATCCCAGAGACACTCGGCGGGGGCCGGCCGGGGGCGCACGCACGTGTGTGCGTTTTATTGAATGCTCGCCGATCCGTGGTCCAGGAACCTTCCCAGTTAATAAAGACAGCATTAAGCTAATGAAAAAGAAAATCCCGCATCTGTGATCTCGGGCGTGGGGAGAGGGCAGGGGGTTCTGGTGGCCGCCACTCTGTTGTTGGAAAAGAAACAGCTGCCAAAGTCCCGGGTCTGGACCTGTCAACAGCGCCCCAGAGAGCCTGCCACCCCCCACCCCGAGGCCTGGGAAGCAGATTGTTAATGTCACAGAGCTTAATTGGGGGAACTGGCTTCCCCCTTCCGTCCCTGGCAGCAAATCCCGAGGAAATGCAGAAATGTTTAGTGTCTTAGCGGAGGGACTCAGAAGCAAAGGGAAGGTCCCTGGGGACGAGGGAGGGGGGAGGGGCCTTGAGGGCTGCGCACAGGCTGTTCCCCACCTGGAAGGCTCCTCCCCTTTCCGGTGAGGACAGACGCACGGACGCACTTCCAGTGGAAAGCACTCCCCTGCCCAGTCCCGCCCCTGCCTTTCAGCCCGTGGGGGGCCTGTGCTCCCTGCGCGCTGCCCATGTTCTCCTTGCAGGACATTCTCCCCTCTTGTCATCAAACAGCGACCTTCATGACTGGCTGCTTAGTCCCAGGCCCTCCAGCTAGTGCGTACACTTTCCCTAGCTGAGCACCTACTGTGTGCCAGCCCCTGCCCCTGCGGAAGGCGCTGGGGATCCTGCAGTGAGCAGAGCAGACCAGGCCCTGCCACCCCTTGCGTGGCTCATAGCTGGGACAGAGAACTGGGATTTTCGCGCCATGGGGGTGACAAGAGCTTGGGAGAATTAGGCAGAGAGTGAACAGAGGTAGGGGACAGGTTACGGCCTAGGTGGTGATCTAGGCAGGCCTCCGTGAGGGGTGGTATCTGAGCAAAGATGGCAGGAGAGCGGGTGAGCCAAGTGAATTCCGGAGGGAGAGCATCCCCAGAGGAGCCCTGTTCAAGGTCTGAGCCAGCCTGGCCACAGCAGAGGGTCGGGAGAGAGGGGTGCAGTGCAGGTGGGATCAGGGAGGTGCCTGGGTCACTGAGAGGACTTCCGCTCTTACTCTGAATACTTTTCTTTTCACCAGGGATTGAACCCAGGGGCATTTAGCCACTGAGCCACGTCCCCAGCCTTTTTAATTTTTTATTTAGAGACAGGGGCTTGCTGAGTTATCTAGCCCCTCACTGAGTTGCTGAGGCTGGCTTTGAACCCACGATCCTCTTGCCTCAGCCTCCAGAGCTGCTGGGATTACAGGTGTGCACCACCGTGTCTGGCTTATATACTTCTTTTTAAAGGCATATTTCTTTTAAAATCAATTGATCTGGAGGGAAAGGACCTTAAGTAAATAATGGTAATCAGGTGACACACAAGGACACAGCCAAACCCGCAGCAGCGCATCCAGTGACCTGCCACATGCATTCCAGATGTTCTGGAAACGCTGGCCGAGAGCCCAGCCTAGGCATGAGGCTACTGAGCCTGGAGCCCGCTGCCCGCATAGGGAGGCCTTCAGGGCCAGCTCTGCTCCTCCAAATGCAGATCTGAGGGCGCTCTGCTGGGGGGAGGGGGTCGGATTCAAAGTCACTTTGCCTCTGTCAAAGTCGGGTCAGGCAACCAGCCTAGGCCTGTGACCCAGGGCTCGCGTCCCTGCCTGTTTCTCACCTGGAGAATGACAGAGGGATCTGGGCCAGCGGCCATGGCCAGAGAGGCTCGGGGGAGCAGCGACAGATGTCCTCAGATGCCCCTTTGCTATCTGAAGGGGACACACAGCCTCCTTAGGGTCCCGTCCTGCAGGGAGAGGCCCACAGAGAGCCGCGGAGCTCAGAGTCGCCAGCCTCCAGAGGTCAGTGTTGGGGCACAAAACCAGCTCCCGTCCAGATGCCCGGTCACATGCCAGGCGCCCGGCCGCACCCGCCAGTGTCTCCAGCCACTGAGCAGCCCAGGGCACGGCTTGGGTAAAACAGCCAGGCCTCCTTCATGTGCCCAGCAGCTGCACCCCTGAAAACCTCACTCCAGGGCTGGGGGTGTAGCTCGGTGGCCCAGCGCTTGCCTGGGAGGCCCCAGCCTCAGTCCTGAGCCCTGAAGAAACGAAAAATGTCAGATCGTATTAAAAGCAAGCGACGGGTGCTGTGTTCCTATGAGACACAGGTCAGCCAGGTCCAGGCAGAGGGTTAGGCCGAGCTCAGGCTTTCCTGGGCGGCGGCAGGACAGTCCATCCATTAGGCAGGAGGCAGCGGGGTGAGCAGAACTCTGGCCCCAGAACACCCAGTCAAAACCCATGTCCTAGCAACTTCCCAGAGGCCCCCGGGACAGGTGCTTTCTCCTTTGAGGCTGCCCCACGCCGCCAACCTCCTGCACGGGGACTGGAGGGGCCTCCCCCACCGGCACATCAGATCAGGGAGCACATTTTGGCCTGAAGTCTTTCCCCCTGCGTTTTTGGCTGTGTGGCCTTGGGCAGATGGCGCCCCCTCTCTGAGCTGCCTTTCCTGGTCTGTAGATCTCTTGCTAATGGTAGGTGCCACCTCGACGGGCCTCTGAGCACACACAGGTAGAGGCTGCAGTGGCTCTGCTCTGACTGCTGTGGGGGTGGGCAGGGGCCTTTGGAAGTCCCAGGTCCCCCCTCTGGCGAGCTGGTGCTGATTCCCACAAACTGAGCAGGGCTGAGGGTGGGGCCGGGCAACCTCCAGCAGAGGCCAGACCAGGGGGGTCCACAGGGCCGTCCCACCCAGGTTCCCCATCAGCATGTGCTTTGAGGAGCGGCAGGTGCCAGACAGCGCCGACATGGCAGAGGGCTCGCCCATAACCCACCGGAAAGCGGCCAGGGAGGCCAGCCAGCCACAGGCCCAAGCCCCTCATGGCCACGCCCAGGCCCCTCGTGGCCACGCCCAGGCCCCTCGTGGCTGCACCCCAGGCCCCTCGTGGCCACGCCCAGGCCCCTCGTGGCCACGCCCAGGCCCCTCGTGGCCACGCCCAGGCCCCTCATGGCTCCACCCCAGGCCTGGTGGGAGCGGCTCTTCCCTGGTACAGGGGAGCTGGGAGATGGAACTTTGGTCAGCCCCGAGGTGCCCACTGAAAATGGGAGCTCCTGGAAAGAAGAGGAGGGAGGATGGGAGTGTGAGGCAGGGCTGTGACTGGCACCTGGGAGGCCGACCGAACTCATGACCTGACCACTACTCCTTATTACTGACATCATCATTTTATTTAATCCTCAAAAAACCTGCAAAGTAGGTATCATCACATCCCATTTCATAGAGGGTGGATTTGAGGCTCAGAGAGGTTGACTAACTTGTTTGTTAGATGATTGAAGAATCACGAGATCCATCCCCTCGTGCACACACTAGGTCCATGATTTGCCCTGCACCTTCCTGACTTCATCCTGTTTCTCCAGATCTGTCCTCATGTGTGCAGACACAGTCACAGCAGCAGCTAGTATTTAGTGAGCATTTAGTATGTGCCATATACTGCTGCAGCAATTGTACACAGCAAGTATCGTCCCCATTTTAAAGAGAGGCAGTAAATAGCCTAAGGTCACCAGGATGGTAGCCCTGCTGCCCCTGGCCGTCAGTCACCCTGTGGAGTAAGGTGACCCTTCCTCATTAGGGATGTCTTGCCACAGTCAATGCGCCCGCCACACCCCTCCCCGTCTGTGTTCTGCCCGTGGCTGTCTGTGTTAGTTATTGTGCTCTTTCAGCTCATGATGGTTTAAAATCAAAAACTTGCTATCATGACAACACAGAGCCGGCATCACCTGCTATGAAGACAGGAGATAGAAACAGACGCTTGAAAGGAAAGGGAGAGCTGGGCACAGTGTGCACACCTGTCCCAGCAGCTCCAGAGGCTGGGGCAGGAGGATCACTAGTTCGAGGCCAGCCGCAGCAATTTAGTGAGGCCCTGTCTTAAAATAGAAAGGACCAGGAGTGCAGCTTGGTGTGGGCACCCCTGGGTTCATCCCAGTGGTGAGGCAGGGGCAGGAAGGAGGGAGGGAGGGAGGGAAGGAAGGAGGGAAGGAAGGAAGGAAGGAGGGAGGGAGGGAAGGAAGGAAGGAAGGAAGGAGGGAGGGAGGAGGGAGGAGTGTCATCTGGGCCACTGACAGCAACCCCCCGGGCTCAAAGCAGCTGTGCTCCTTCCAGTGGAGCCAGCCCCGCCCCAGCAAGCCCCACTTTCTGGGGGAGCAGGACTGGGGACCCCGACACCACAGCGGGTGAGTTCTGCAGCGCAGGTCCTGCCGGTGGTCCTGGGGGCTGGGGGCCTACAGGCCTGCGTCTGCTGGGGGCCTGCTCCCGAGCGGGGCTCTGCGAGTCCCCAGGCCATGGGGGGCCCGCACCAGACAAGACAGCAGGCTGGCTTCCTAACAGCCTCTTGGGGACCAGCCATCCCTCTGTTAAAGGCCTGATCAGCCACTGCTGTCACAACCTGGCCACCTCCTGAAGGTCTCGGCCCCCCAGGGCCTCAGGGTGGGGATCCAACTCCAGGGAGAGCCTGGAGGGGCCTCACGACATAGTGAGAGCAGAGTCTGCACAGGAACCACTCCCTCGCTGTGTGACGTGGCCCTGTGGCCCTGTGGCCTGCACCCCGGGGCATACGGGAGGGTCGGTGGGTGCCCAGCGGGCAGCACCGGTGCCCCTGGGAGCAGCCCTGGGCTGTGCTTCCGAGGGCGCAGCGGGATCTGGGTCGCCAGCAAGGCCCGGCCCAGGGCGTGGGGGACCCCGAGGCCAGGCAGGGCCTCCTGGGCGGGCAGCCGCGCTAACCTGCGCTCTGTCCTCTGTCCGCAGCACAACATGCCCTTCTGGCGGATTTCCTGCCACGCCGACCTGGAGGCACTCAGGCACGCGCTGGAGCTCGAGTACCTATAGCGACACCCGCCATCGCTACCTGCCATCGCCACACCCACCGGGCCCCCTGGCCGCCCCACCTCCCCTCCAAGAGCCCCAAAGGCCCGGACGCCGGACCCCAGGCAGAGCGCTGCACCCGAGGACTGTCCAGTGGCCGTCCCAGAAGCCATCCAGGGGGATTCCGAGAGCAGAGGGCCGGTGGCGACGCGGCCGGGGCTGCTTGGAGTCCTGCAAGACACACAGGACAGCAGGGGGAACTGGTGGCCAGGGGAGGGCAGGTGGCTTCCTTTTGTCCCGTTGTTAATTTATGGCCTGGCCTGCACTCTGGCCACGCTCTGGCACCGTGCTGGTTCCTTGGTGGCTGGTCTGGCGGCTGAACCTGGCGTGGGGCCCCGGGGGCAGCTCTGGTTTCAGGGCTCTCTGCTCAAGTCGTGCTCTGGGGGGACAATCATTCTCTAGCATCTGTGAGGGAGGTATCGGGCTGTTGGGAAGACTGTGGCTCACCTTTGTTTTTAAAGACGGCTGTGGACAGCACACGTGCCTTATGCTGCCATCTTGTTCCTGGGGAGAGGAGGACACTGGGGAGGAAGCGGTACTTTGTGACGGATAAAAGGCATTAAATAAAACCACGTTTACATTTTGCAGTGGGGCAGATGGTAGTTCTCTATTCCCATTCTTCAGGCTTCCAGATACATTGGTCCTTTCAGTTGCAAAAGAATAAAAATCCAACTTCAATTGGCTGAAACCGAGAGAGGGAAGAGAGAGAGAAAGAAGCCTCCGGCAACTTTTTAGTTGATACCTGTGTTCAGGTACAGCTGGATCCAGGTGATCAGTGACTTTGTCCTACATGCTTTAATTCTCAGGTGGGCTAGGCTCTTCCCTGTTGTGGCAAAATGGCTCCAAGAGCCCTTCTTCAAAACCACGCAGCCAGAAAGAGAGCACCTTCTCCACAGTGGTGGTGACACAAGCCTGGGCTGCACCTCACTGGCTGAAGCTGAGTTGTGGGGTGTTCATGGACCTGAATTTAGGGTTGGGTCCCCTGAGATCAGAAAGTTGGAGAAGGCTAGTCCCCCAGAGGAGAAAATCACTCAGAGTGACATATTACTAAAAGAATTGGGGACAGAGCCCACCCACCAAGGTGGGAAGTCCAGCGAACTTCCATTCCCAGGACAGGACTCGACTTTCCAGTAGATATGAAATGATTCCAGGACCCAGCGACAGGGGCAGGGGGTGATATCTGGGGAAGTTCTAAGGATGTCACAAACACTGTCACTCCTGTGGGGGACCAAGCAGGGCCTGGCTCCCAATGACTAGATACCAGCAGACATGCAAGCCCCTGTTGGTGACCCCAGATATTACCGACTGGCTCAGGTCTGCGCAGTGCAGACAGGAGGCTCGGCAATGGAGCCTCCCAACGAGAATCTGTGACACTGGGAAGCCTCAGCACGCGGGAGAGTCCCTGGTGGCCTCTGAGTTCCCTGGGGTGGGTGCTCTGGGTCCCATCTCTGTCTCCATAAACTCATCCCAGAGCCTGACGCAATCAGGATCCATGGTAGACAGGACAGGAAGAACAGGAAGGCAGGTCACACCCACCTGGCACTTTAGTGAATGCAGGACCACCCCACAACAGTGGTCCATAGGATTGTGTCACCTGGTTACACTGTGGCCACGTGACAATCAAATCACCTAACACCACCTTCTCAGAAGGCACGTCTGTCCTCAAGTGACACGTGACTGTATAAGTGGAATCATGGTCACATGGACAACTAGATGGGTGGATGGCCATTTGGACAGATGGCTGAGGGGTGGCTCACCGTTGGGTGGGAGGTGGGTGAGGGGCGAGGTGACTGGACGGCTGGCCAACTGGAAGATGGCAGAACATCTGGGCGGGTAGAGGATGGTGGATAACAATGTCTCGCGGGTGGTTGGGTGGACCGTGGGTGTGGGGTGATCAGACGGACGATCACAGGGACAATCAGACAGTTGCATGGTGCATGAGGGCATGGCTGGAAGGAGGCACAGATGGCCACCAAGGTCAGTGAGTGGACACGTGGCGGGGTGGCGGGGTGGGTGGCTGTGAACGGAGGGCCCAGGAGGTGACGCTCTCTAACGCTGCCTTGAGCACCTGGCTGGGGCTCCTACGGGCAGCAAGCTCAGGATGAACCGAGGACTTTACTGGATGGACTGGTTCCTGGCTGGAGCGGAGAAGGAGACGGAGCAGAGCCGCCCAGTCCAGGGAGGGAAAGTCCTGGGTGCCCCATCTCCCCATGGCCCCCCTTCCACAGGCACCATGTGTGGTGACAGTCTTTCCACCCCCCCTTCTGCTAACACCAAAGCTTACTCTCTGGGAAAATACGATCAATTACTTATTTAAAAGACTTTTTCATGCCCATTAGAAACACTAAGGGAATTTCAGTGGAGCACACAGGACAATTTTGGGCAAAACAGATGGACCCTCCCCTTAACGTTGAAGTCAAACTCCCCGGGTGTGGACTGCTTTTCTGTTGCGATGACCAAGGGTTGAAGAGGTGGCAGTGCAGCCTTGACGCATCTGACTTGGATTCTGGATGATCCAGAGCTGCTGGAAGGAAGGACGGCGTCTTTCTCGTCTCTGTGGTCTCAGTCCCCACCATAAAGCAGAACTTTGTGCACACTGGGTGGACGGGTCGGGTGGCACAAGGATGGACGCATCCCTCATGAGAGAGAGACCGATGGTTGGCTGAATGGACCAACAGACAGATCACCGAGACCAAGGTCCCAACCTGCCTGTGTTTCCTGTAGAGGAGGTCGACTCTTCTGGACTTGCCTCTCAGAGGTTCCGAATGACTCCAGATCTTCCAGACAAGCCCAGCAGGATGGAGACCCCACAGATGTCCCCAGATTGGCCTCTGAAGAGGAAGCAGGGATTTGCCTGGCCGAGGGATTTAGAATTCAGAGAGCTGTTTTTGGGGTTTTTTTTCCCCATTACAAATGACAGAAACAAAGTGGCTTAAAACACTTCCTTGGCTTGTTGGACTGAAAGTTCCAGGAATGGGTGACCTCAGATAACCTGCCCCATACAGAATTCAAGACATGTCCCTCAAATCCACCGTCTTGCCCTCCATCCGAAATTCTGTTCCTCTCCTTTGGATTCGTCTGTGGGCCACAGGGACACACTTGGAGATGAAGCTGTGAGGCTGTAACCCAACCAGGATTTTCAGTGGTAAAGCACTCTCTGTCCTTGCTTGGGCTGGCCTTGAACTTGCAGTCCTCCAGCCTCAGCCTCCTGAGTCACTGGGATCACAGGTGTGCGCCACCGCACCAGCCCTCTCACGCTGTCTTCGAGGTGCATCCGTGTTGCTGGGGCCAAAGTCCGTTCTGGGTAAAGGGGAATTGGGGTTTAAAGCGCTGGACGGTGTTCCTGGTGCTTTGAGCCTAGGTGGAGGCAATGCTGGCTAAAGCTGTGCTTACCAGTGACCACCAGGGGGCAGTGCAAGCCCACAGCTGGCTGGCGCTGCCCTCAGATGCCCCGAGGTGGGACCAAGACACACTCCCCCGCCCTGTGTGTGCGCATGCGCTGGGGGACTGCAGGTCCTCTCTGTCCTCTCTGGAACAGATTCCCAAAGCATCTCCTTCAGGCTGTGCTCGCTGCCGGGGTGGCTCTGATGCGATGGCAGCTCCATCGACGCCTGTTCAGGCCCAGGAGTTCCCGTGAGGTCCCTTCTGCACTGACCGGGCCTCAGCAGACACAATGTGAGGGGGCTGGTGGCTTCAAACGCTATCAGGCAGCCCGCAGTGATGGGGAAGGCGGGTCCTGCCCTCTGCCCAGCTCTGAACCTGGGCCCCCATGTGTGGCACGTGTGCTCGGGACTGAGCCCAGGGTGCTGTAGCCCGGAGCTGCGCCCCGTCCTTCATGTTTTTTATCTTGAACCAGGGGCTCACTCGATGTCAACCCTCCCACCGGCCTCCAGGGTGTCACAGTAGATCAAGTGAAAAAATGTGGGAGCTTACTTTGACATCCAGAAGTTTCTCGAGGACGGCACTAATCTGACGCTGGACAGACACTGAGTTTAAACGTCACCGTGAACTATGTGGCGAGCTGGTTACGGGGAGGCCACCTCTTTGCCCTGCCTGCTCCCACCTGCTGGTATCTGGGCCCACAGAACCCCAGGTCAGGGAGCCTCCTGGCCACCTGTGTGGTCAATGAGGGCACAATCTCAAGCCCACTTCTAACCCTCAATAGCACCTGCCACATACCAGGCCCTGGGCAAAGCCCTTGCCCACCTTATCCCCCGCCTGGAGAGGAAGTGCTGAGATTCGGGCCGGGTGGAGCCCCAGCCCTCCCTTTCCAGCCACAGGAGCTTCCCCTCTTCAAACCTGTTTTCTCAGCCATAAAATGAGATGACAGCGGAATGGCCTTCCAGCGTCACTGCCAGCCCGGAGTGCCCCCAGACATGGCACTTACAACAGTGGCTTTCAAACCTTTAGGCTGCATATGACAGCCAGGCACGGTGGCCACCCTGCAGTCCCAGCTGCTCGGGAGGCTGAGGCAGAACAAGCACTTGAGCCCGGGGTTCAAGGCCACCTGGACAACATAGTGAGACCCGAACTCTTTAAGGAAAAAAAGAATATATTCTGAATATAGCGATAAACCAAGCTACAATGTCCAGAAGAAAAGATCGCATTAAGACCCAGTGTAACGTGTGTGCATAGATAAGTGCCAGTGTATACACAGCGTGCACACATTTCACTAAAGTATTCCACAAAGCCACGCCCACTGTAGCGCTATACACATCCTGCCGCTCCACCCTTGAGTTTTTAATGATGCAGGTCACAATCTTTCACATCAGTTTCACAGACCAGGATTTGGAAAACACCAGTTTCAAACAGGCGAGGCAAACGAGCTCATCCAAGGACTCGTTGATCTTATAAGCCCCGTTTTACAGAGGGGGAAACTGAGGCTCAGAGGAGCTGCGGCCTTGCAGCTGGAAGGGGGCGGGCTCAGCCCCTGCGCAGCACCTGGTGACTCAGGCTGCCCACAGAGAAGTTTTACTGCTCTGCACACTATTTTTTCAAGTTTTAACCCAGCTGTATGAAACTGGGGAAATTTAACTCAAAATCTAAATTTTCAGCCAGGTGCAGTGGCGCACGCCTGTCATCCCAGTGACTTGGGAGGCTGAGGCAGGAGGCTGGTTATGGGGGAGGATTGAGAGTTCAAAGCCAGCCTCAGCAACTCAGCAACCCTGCAACCCTGTCTCTAAATAAAATACAAAATAGGGCTAGGGATGTGGCTCAGTGGTTAAGTGCCCCCGGGGTTCAATCCCTGGTACCAAAAAAAAAAAAAAAAAAGTCTAAATTCTCAACTTTTCTAAACTAGGAAAGGATGGTCTGGCGTGCCCCGGCTGCCTCTGCGCATGCTCACCAGGAGCCCCTCCCCCACCCTCAGGGGGCTGGCACTGGCTGCGCTCTCCGGTTGGCCACAGTCCCCACCGCACCCCGGAGAATTCCTGGCCACCGAAGCAGCACCACAAGCCACTGTCACTGCGCACACAGGCTGTTTCAATCACACGGAGAAACCGTTTTCTATCGAAGGTGGAAGCACAAAACCAAACCCGTAAGGGGGCCGCGTGTTTCCAGAAAGA